CCACTCTGCTTGTTGCTGATAATTTATCGTCGGCACAATAGCTCCATGTTACTATCACAAGCGAATTCAAGAGTTAAATGTAAAGACAATCAGCATCAAACCCAGCTAAATTCGTTTGAAGACATAAGTGGCGAGAATTTTCAGGAGTCACCATTGGTGGTGACTAATGACCGAAATTTCTACGACGGTAATGACTGAGCGAAATGAGCGAAACAAACAAAATACGAAACTTCTTACTCAACCTTTACCTTCAGATGGTGACAACGAAAACATTGGCACTGATGACGTTAACGACTCGCTTATTCTACTTTTGGTTGAAATATTGCTTCCGGTGCTGTCAGTTTCGAGAAACAGTTGCTGCCTTCGCGTCGATCGCTTTCCGTCATTATCTCTGGAATGATTTCGAACTTTCACTAAAATATCACAAATCTGAACTGAAGAAGGATGAAAGCAAATGGTTTGAAGGCATGGCATTTTATGCAATTCCGGGCTGTCTTTAAGGGGGCACTGGACAACGAATCAACAACAAACGACCAAAAAGAAAGACTGAGATCAGCCAGCGCCATAAGGAAAAAATGAATCCAAGCACGAAAGTATAATGGAAACAGAAACCCAAGCGGTTACGAACTTACGCTTTCCTTCCTTCTTCTGTGGTAAATCAGCGCGTTTTCCAGCATTTCACAATATTTTAGAAGTAAAACGTAAATACTCAAGTTTGAAGTCCAAGCTAGAAGAACAGGACTTTTCCTAAAGTGTCAGACAAATACTTCAAATGCTCAAGAAATAATAAAAATTAAGATAAGAAAAGGTTCGATAAAACTATTTTAATCTCTTATGATGACGTTGAAGTAAACCATTTAGAACGTATGGTAAAAGGTTTTTCAGATTCTTTGCTCACAGCTGATTTGTCAAAACCGTAGCAGCTAATCAAAAGCATTTAATGATAGCACAGCGACTGAAGAAAACGGACACCGTCGTGAATCACTTTTGTCTTTGTCGATAGTTTCATGCAGAGGAACGCAAACGGGAAGCCAAAGTGGAGGACAGCTCTGTTGCCACTTTTAAATTATTTTTCATAACTTTATCGATGTTTACTTGATTGAAGTAAAATAGGCTGTACCAAACGCAACTAAACTAAAACCATGTAACTCGGTTTATAAACAATAGCAGTTCAGGAAAGTGAAGGAAGTCAGAATGTCCCAAATACTGCATATCATACTAGACAAATGTTAACCGGCAGCCTACCATTAGGCATTTTCAAGTCCTCGTCTTCGAGCGCGCTTTCGTTGATAGTGATCATGCGATCTACGCTGTCAGATAGTCTTTGTGAAGCTTCAAGGTTGTTTTCCGTCGAACTGATCAGCGGCGGACTTTCAATTTCGTCGCTGAACGTACTTCTACAATCGAAGATTAGTGTTACTAGTGTCAACCAGAAAAAGGAAAGTTTGCAACTTGTTAAAATATCGGCCTTCTTCATACATTAATGATGGGCCATTTCTGGCGTCTTTCTATTCATCACATTAATGGTGGGACGCTGATCTCCATTTCCGTGCCATCAGTGAGGAATGCTTTATAAGTTTACAGGCATGGTCGACAGCAGCTAAGCATAGTGCGCAGTTTCCTAGTTTCCGCCCACAGAGTGGTATTCATTTATCAACCTCAGAAGAAAGGAAGACGAGTGAATTCGTCTGGGGCTGGAACTCAGAACCTCTTGGGTCTGAGTCATATGCTAAATCAATTGAGCATCCACAATCTAAAAGTTTCAAAATGCTGAACAAATTTTTGTTTAATCCTTTCACAGGTGCTGCGATAATCGTCTTTGCTTCGTTCCAATCTTAGAGCATGACCATGTACCAAAACCATACGCATTTGGTGATACAATACACGTGAGAGAAAATCAGAGATTCAAAGAGAAAAATTTTTCAGAAACTCATGTACTCATAGGCAAAAAT